CTTCTTACGAACTGGATTGGCTGTAGTGGTGAGTCTGTTCCTGCTGTTTCCTTCCTCACTTCCTCTAGAGTTACTGCAATTTGACGGAGAGCTTTGTTATGTCTCCACGTATAACGGCCTTGTTGTAATGCAACTGAGCAGTTAGACAAGATGTGCTTCAAGTCTGCTTGTTCAATACCACACAGCTGGCAGGACTCTTCACTCTTGAACCAACGGGTGAGGTTTCTGGGACTGGGAAGAACATCATAGACTGCCCGTAGCAGAAAGCTCAGTCTGGCATTCTGGATGTTCCACACATCGCTCCACTTAAGTCACCTCTCTACCGCTCCGTCCCAGTTTGTCCACGCACCCTGCTGGCTCTGACCAATCGCCACCACTCTTCTCTTCTCCTCCTCTATCCTTCTCACTTCCTGTACTACCAGCTGTCTCCTTTCTCTGGAGTTGGCGTTGGACCACCGGTGTGTTCGCTCCCCCCATCCAAGACCGGTTCTTCCCAGCTGGACTGCACCCACTAGGTCTTTATGTTGTAGTTGGCTAACTGCTTGGCTAATGGTCTCTTTAGCACTCCACTTCTTGCCAGTGCTGATGTTCGTGTTTACCGCTTTCACTGCTGGGTCTTGAGACTCCTCCAACTCCAGAACAAGTTGAACTTTGGCCACCTTGTATTCCTCTGCAATGGATGAAAGCGGAAGGCTTAACATGTTGTCGCCAAACAATGCCACTGTTGACAGACATCTTGGTACACCTAACCACCGCCGAAAGTAGGAATTGGCTTTCCTGTCGATCTGATCCACAGTTGACATGGATATGTTGTACATCTTAAGGGGTCCTAATATTAGTCTTGGAAACTAGCACAAACTGTTGCGCACCACACTTTGAGTCTTCCAGGAAGATCACATTCATCAATGCATTTAAGACCACTTGTAGCTTGACAAATAATTTCAGGTCCCCTTCTGGTGTCTTTCAAACTACTTGTGTAGAGACACCCCAGACTCTTCACCGGTTCTTCTTGTAGAGTTGGAATGGTTTGACCATTCACTGAGAAGGTTCTACTGGAGATCTTCCCCTTCCTTAGTGACAGACTTCTGGACTTCGACGGCTTAAACTTCATACCAGCCCACTCAGTTAGCTCCTCAAGCCTCTGGAGCAGCCGAGTCGTACACGGAGCAGTTCGGAGTATACTTGTGACATCGTCCATAAAGGCACGGACTGGTGGTAGTTTCTCTCCTGATGGAGCTCTCAGACCTCCCACTACCTGTTTGGCGCCAATTAGGAAGATTTCGAAGCCCATGGTGAACAGGAGTGGTGAGATAGAACACCCCATGGCAATCCCCTTCTCCAGCTTCTGCCAGCCTGTAGTGAAAGATCTTGTGCTGATACTGAGCTTGAAGTCTGCAAAGTAGTTCTCCACAATCTGCTTCATTTCGACGGGCACCCAGAAGAAATCGAGGGCATAGCTAATGACTTTGTGGGGTATTGAGCCGTAAGCGTTCGCCAAGTCCAGCCATACAACATGTAGATCTTCCTTTCGACTCCTTGCAAGTTGAATCTGCCTCCATATAGTGTTAGCATGCTCAATACAGCCTGGGAAACCTGGAATGCCCGCTTTCAGTTTCAGTTTATTTATTTAACCAGAAGATACACTCAGGTCATTTGACCTGTTTTTCAGGTAGATCTGGGTACAATAAAAATGCAGAAACAATACAATGATAACAACACAGTACATAGCACATAATAGCCATACAGCAGTACAAATACAATATAATTACAATGAGTTTTTGAAGGCCGTTACAGTTCGGAGCTTTCTCTGTTCTATTGTGAGCTGGTTCCACAGCACTGGACCCTGGTACTGCAGGCTCCCTTTGTATGTGTTAATGTTTGCCGGTGGAACAACCAGCATGTGAGGGTCCCAATTTGCTAACTGGTTTACAGCTAACCTCGTCCGTCTGTTCAACATTGGGGGTGGCATCCACTTACACATTTCAGACAAGTAAGGCGGCATTTTCTTGTTTAGTACCTTAAAAACAGTCACTAGTGTGTTTACTTCCACTCTTCGTGATAGTGTTTCAATACCCGCCTCTGTTAATGGAGTGTCAGTAGGTACTCGGTCCTGCAACGTTCTGCCGGTGATGATTCTGGCAGCACGGTTCAGCAGCCTGTTCAGTTGCTGTGTTCTTGTCTTGTTGCAGTTCAGTAGCGCTAACAACCAGCTTTCTGGACTTGTGTGTCTATATAGCTGTTGGAGAGCAAAAAACTAGTGAGACGTTTTGCCAGTATTGTAAAGACAGCTTGCCCTCTACGTTGAGCAAGGAGATGTTTCGGAACTGGTCTATAGTGGATGACACTCGCTCCTTCGGGATTAGTACTCCGCCTGCTCTCCTCCAGGATACTGGCACACACTTCTTCCTCCAGGCAACTTGCATGAGTTTCCACAGTACTCTCAGTGTCTTCGGACACATTTTGTAGACTCTGTAGGGGACTCCGTTCGGGCCTGGGGCTGCTGCTGCTCTAGCCCTCTTGACTGCTGCCAACACCTCACTCCATTTCGGGGGGAGTGACATCCATCGGAACTGAAGGTTCTGCAGGTCTTGGTACGTACCCCGGAGAATCTAGCGGCCTGTCTTTCTCTGGGTCAGAATACGTTGCTTTCAAGTGGGCTTCCAGATCTTCCACTCCAATGGTAAGATCCCCTCCCTTCTTCTCTTCTAACAGTGACTTCGCAAACTTGAAGGGGTTTCTGAAAAACTGTTTCCTCTGGTTCTCTTTCCTCTTACGCTTCCTTCTCAACCTCTCAGCTCTTCTCAGACACTTCAGCCTAGTTCTAACCTCCTCCCACAGAACTTGGAGACCAACTTTCTCATCTGGACCTGCTTTTCTCCATAGCTTCCTCAGATGTCTCCTTCTGATGATCAGCTTAGAAATCTCCTTCTGCCTTCTGCTTATACGTCTTGGTTCGCTAGATCTACCGTCACTCGACAGTGTTCCAAGCCTCCCACTGCAAAAGTCATACACCATGTTGCCAAACTTGTTCAGCTTTCTTTCGACATCTCCCTTGAGGCCTTGCTCTAAGATGTTACTCAAGTCGCTGTCTAGAACTTCCCAGGTGGCCTTGTCGCTGGCTCTGGGCCACTTGATCTTCTCCTTCCTAACAAAACACTCTTCCTTCTTTGGGCTGGCTACCCTAGACCCTGTGTCATACGTTGGCTGCTTTTCACCCGCTCTGGGGACCGGTTCCACTGGGGGAGTCTCACTGCCTGGATCAGGGTCACCGCTGTTGAAGTCCTGGGTACTGTGGTTGGTCACCTGATCCGTGACCTCTTTCGTCTGACCGGCTGGCGCCGAGCGTTTGCGCTGCTCCTCATTCTGGCATTTCATCTTCCCTTGATGGATCCTGAGACCTCTGAACGTTGTGACCCGCTGCAACATACCTTAGGTACATGTACGTACATTTCAGGTGTGCAGGAGTGCATACCATGTTGCAGTAAAAATATCTTAAAGCACACTATTTCTCAAGGACAAGGTGGTGATATTATGGACCCTGGTGATATTACGGACACGGATGTTAGTAAAATTACAGATGAACAGAAAGAAAAGTTTTTCCTACCGGCTTGCCCTGTAGACTTTTTCTGTTGTCCACGGTTCCCCAGGTTGCTATGCCGATGGCCACCATTTTGCGCTGCTCGCCGCCCGCGATGCTGTTCACTCCGTCCCGTATCGCCTCTCCCACGTACTTCATCACGCCCTCGTTCATCCCCCCTGTGATGATCCACGCGCCTGGGGGGTTAAAGGTCAAGGTCAAGCATTTGTTCTCTTTGTTTGGAGTTTCAGTTTATTTCGCACTTTAAAACAAATACAAATACAAGAAAATATAAATGAAATGTAACAGTGCAGGGAGGCCGGAAGCATAAAATGCTTATGAGGAGGCCTCCCTTCATAACGTGATTAACAATTCAAATAAATCGGATAAATAAGAAATAACTATATATAAAGGTGCTCTGAGACCCACCTGTGCTGAGACCCACCTGTGCTCTGAGACCCACCTGTGCTCTGAGAAGCCTTGACCCACCTGACTGTGCTCTGAGAAGCCTTGACCCACCTGTGCTCTGAGAAGCCTTGACCAGGCCGATCTTGAAGATGTTCTTGAGCCGTTCCTTCAGCAGGAACTTCTTGGCGCCGCCGGTGACGGAGATGAGGAGGTTGGGCGGCTCCAGCTGCCAGTGTTTGGTCATCAGCTCCCATAATGCCTCGGGGCGCACTGTGTCCTTGCCAACGCGGATGTACTAAAGAACATGGGGGAGGGGGGCAGAGTTGTGACCTTGGTCTAAAAATAGCTCAAATTCCTGGAAAAAAAGTTAGTTTCATCATCAGCTCCCATAATGCCTGAGGGCACACTGTGTCCTTGAGAAAATGGAAGCCGATGTACTACAGAACAGGGGGGAGGGGGGCAGAGTTATGACCTTGGTCTAAAAATAGCTCAAATTCCTAGAAAAAATGTGACAGTTTCATCATCAGCTCCCATAATGCCTCAGGCCGCACTGTGTCCTTGAGAACACAGATGTACAGTAACTGCAGAACAGGGGGAGGGGGACAGAGTTATGACCTTGACTTTTGTTTTCCCATGTTCCTATGTCAAATTCCTATGGGAGTTAGTTTTGACCTTGACCTTTGTCTCTCCACCTTTTCTGAAGAAACATAATTACTGGCATCATCAAATCTACTTCACAACATGGCCACAGATTTCTTGGGAAATTAGGCAAAAATTTTGGAAGAACAAGTCAAATTCTTATTCCTTTCCAAAAGACCTCAGAATGAGATCAATTTGCAGCAAACGAAAGCGTTTATATGGGCAGAAACTGAGAGCTCACCGGTGACCTCTGTGTGTATCCGCCGAGTCCGACAAACTCGATCTCACCGAACGATCCGTCGTGAAGCCCCTGGTCCCGGTGCTCCTGCACAAACCTCGACAGCTGGCTCTGGAATAAAACAATATTCGTGTTTACTAATATAACGTTATATTGTACAAAACATCAATATGGCATTTAATCACTCCTCCATATGCATGAACAGAACATGTTGCAACCTGTATCAATATATCCAGTATAACCGCCCTTCAGCGTAACACACCAGCTTCACAGGCGCGGCGGCAGCTAGCTAATTATCATACCGAATGACTTGTTACACTCAGTCAAATCTTTGAACAGGGGGGGGAGGGGTGCAGAAATGCTCCAGTGTGGCCAACGTTACCTTAGCGGAGCAGGCGTTGGCAACGCGCATCCAGTGGCAGTACAGACCGCGCTCTGTGTCTGTGTACGTGTTCCTGGGCCCCTCACGGTACATGTGTGCGGGGGCCGACCCCTCCCTGGACATGTGGGCCGGGGATGGCGTGTTCGACATGTGCGCGTAGGTTTCTCTCAACATGCTGCCCCGTGCAACTGTCCAAACTCACTCACTCACTGTCCGGTTTATCGTCTGTTGTTCCCCGTCTTCCGAGGGTTAGACGTACTTGCACAATACATCTGGGGCCTGATGGCAGCACGCCACTTGTCTCTGTCCTGTGGGTTGATTTTATCTAAGTTCAGGTGGTTGTATTTTTTTTGTCCAATGCAATTAAATCAAGAAAAGCAGAAGCTAGCTACAGGTTTGCGGAGAGGCACACCTCAAGCACGTTAGAGATCCCACAGGTGTGCCGGGGTGCTTTTCGAGCGTAGGTGTCCCTCAACATGGTGCCCTGTGGAACAGTGAGGCAGTCCAGCGCAGACAAGCTCCGAAGCAGAACCAAGAAACAGGAGCGAGTAGAAACAGGAAAACCCCTGACTCCCAGGATGCCGGGAATCGAAACCACGCCAAACCCGGGCAGCCAGCTTACGACACCAGCGCGCTAACCGCGACTCCAAAATGTCTGGACCCGTTGGAATGGATCTGTTAGTGGCGCTTGAACCCCACTGTTGCACAAGGTATCCAACAGCTGCAGGGACGTTCTCTTGGATAGCACATAAGGCTGGAGGTCCTGTGATTGAGGAGAGCCACACCTCGAGCACGTTTAAAGATTCGACCACACTTATCAAAAAGAGCAGGCGTCCTTCCCGGTGTGAGTGGTTCAAACATTACAGTCTGGTCTCGGGGTTGACATCTTGAAAAGGCGATAGTCACCAGTTATGTCTCAATCCTTCCACAAATTTGGTCTTCATCAATAAGTATGCTTCCAACCAAAAGCCATTACTGCCAGACCAGTGACTGGTATAACAAGTCACCATCTCACGAGCAAGCTTTAGCTCTCTCCTCTGTCTGTTACAATCCTCCACAGAAATTTCAGAACAGCAAAAATTCCCACAGTGAGAATTCCGACATGGTTCCAGCCAGTAGAAATTCCCGACTGATTCCGGCAGAATTTATGCGCCTCCGAACGGTGGCGTCATCTGGAGCTGGTAATTAATTCCAATCCTAACGAAGTTGTGTCGGATTACGCGAGCCATATTTGGAACAAAATGTGATTAGGAGTGATTCTGTCAGTATAACGTCAGGCTAAAGCAAGTCAACACTCGGATCCCATCACTTCATTTTTCAGTCACTGGAACATTTTGTGCTTAATAGATAGATAGATTGTGGGGTCGTGTGGCGCAACAGCAGCGTGCGCGACTCGGAATGAGGAGGTCCTGTGTTCGAGTCCTGACATGCCACCGATCTTGTGCCATTGGGAAAGGCACTTTACACGACTTTCCCCCACTAGACTCAAGTGAAAATGAATATTGTCTTTCATTTTGTTATGGATTGTACCAAATATGATGTTATACGTAACAAGCTATTTACATTTCTCGAATCAAGTACCATAGATTTCAAGAGTCTCGATGTTGGAGACAGATTTGAATATATCTTTACATGTAATGGTCCCCACAACGCAAAAATAGGTAGATATATAAAGGAATGCTTTGCTATTAGAAAAAATACCGAAACTTGTGATTAGCCCACTCGATTGTAACACTTTATCAAAGACTTGTGATATCCCTTATTATTTGAATAATTATGATATAGATATGTTAGGTTTTATTCGACATTAGGTCTTATTCAACACACTTATTTTATTGTTGTTACTCTCTTTCTGTAGTTTGCCGTACATTGTACCATGTGCAATTGTCGTGCAATAAAGTTCTTCTGTATTTGTTTCTATGTGCGGGACACAAACCAGCAACAGCTGCCTCTGTTCTGTGTGTATTGCACTGTTGCAATTTCAAGAAATCTAATCAAATCAAATCAAATCAAATAGATAGAGATTAGGAACAAGCCAATGTCATCTGCTCATTCTCAGATAATTTTTCGTGAAGAAATAATATTGAACTGGAAAATCAACATGATGAGAACATAGTCTGGGGAAAAGTCTGTAACTTTGTGTTCAAGTTTGGCCTCAATCTTCAGTTTTCGTTCTTGACTATGATAATGAGAATAATGAGAATTAAAACAAAGGAATAACCAAAGTCACATTAAACAAATATTAGAGTTTTTTCTGATGTCTACTCCCAGCTACAGTGGCACAGGGTGTCCAGTAATTTGTGAGGCAAATTCGTGTACTAAACTAAATTATCCTTCCATATCCTAAAGACTGAAATTCCTTCATAAGATTTTGGTTTTTAGTGAAATTCTTGCTAGCAATAATGTCTGCATGCATGAAATTTGCAGTTGGAAAAGCAGCTGTGTTATATTATTAAGTAGTAGTATAATATATACTAACATTCACAGACCTGATGGTTCTATACAATTATACCATCCCTGGTGCAGGTTTGACTGTACAATATGTTGTTACTAACACTGTTATCTGGTGCATGTTTGACTGTGTACATGTGCTAATGATACAACCTGTACATGTGTTCTAAAGTTCACCTGGTGCATTTTTAAGAACTCTCCCCAGCCTGAAGTTATGGTAGTTTCCTGTTCCAGACATGTTGACTCTGTTGTTGTTGTTGTTTTCGTGTCCAGCTCCAAACTACACAAGTCAGCATCCGACAGCTGGTCAACTCCATTACAGACACTCATCATGAGTTAGGACTGCAAACCTCCTCCTAACTAATATATATCGGTGTAGCCGGTACAACTGCCCTTTGGCGTAACACCAGCTTAACTAAAGTGTAATTATATAACAGGAAAAACTGTACTGCTGCACTATTTGGGCTTATGATGACTTAGAATGAGCGATCATCTAGAAGCCACTGTCCAGTGTTTTATCAGAAAATCCTGGTACATGTATGTTGAAGCTGTATAATACTGTACAAATGTACATAGCATTCTGTCTTTCAACTGTTGATGTCACTTTGGAATTTCCTGGTACATTGAACCTGTATAATACCATACACAGCATCTGTCTGCCCTGCCACGGCCACTGGAAGAGTGGCGATGAAACATGAAACTGGTTCCAGGCTTTTCCACACTCTGTTAAGTTTGTACATAGACCTACAGGATGATTATAGGTCAAACCTGTCAGTGTTTAATTTAAAAAAAGACAACTTTCTGGTACTACAATGAACCAGTGAGACTGCTATAGTCAACTTTACAATAATGCATATATGTCTGACTCATTAATTTGCTTTTCCTATCACGATCTGGGTGGCTAAAAAAATTCCATGTGCAGAACTGGATGAATTTTTTTTCCTTTCACAGAATGTCAGGCCGGACTGTTGATCCGTGTCTGAGTAAAAACGATCGATAAAAGAGCGTCCCGATTCTGTCCCAATGTCAGACGGTTGGGCGACTCTGAGTCACGGGGACAGACAGACGCTGTCCTTTCTGCGGACAGACACTGTCCTTTCTGCAAACAACATTAATCACACACTACAGGGGCTAGCCTGGCTCTTCAGACGCCTGGGCGACTCTTAATCAGTTAGCCTGGCTCTTCAGACGTCTGGGCGAGTCTGAATCATGAGGACACGACAGACGATCCTTTCTGCAAACAACATTTAACAAACACTACAGGAGCTAGCCTGGCTCTCCAGACGCCTGGGCGAGTCTCAATCAGTTAGCCTGGCTTTTCAGACACCTGGGCGAGTCTGATTCATGACAAGCTGTAGCTAACTAGCCTGGCTCTTCAGACGTCTGGGCGACTCTTAAATCACAGACACTAATCCTTTCTGCAAATAGACAGTCGCTATAACAGTTACTATATAATAATACGAGTAGCTAGCTTGGGACAGTTTTGGTCTAAATGCCACGACCTTGAAACCCCTGTACTGACCTTGCCGAACCGGCCCTGCATGAGTCTGTCCAGAAATGACCTTCTGACGCTGCTTCTCAGCTGACCTTGCCGGTCAAGCAGCTCCTCAAGATCCACCACCTCACACCTCCCATGTCTTAGACGCCTCTGCCCCATCTTACACTGTCTCAAGCTTCTCTCTGCCCCATCTTACACTGTCTCAAGCTTCTCTCTGCCCCATCTTACACTGTCTCAAGCTTCTCTCTGCCCCATCTTACACTGTCTCAAGCTTCGATAAAAGTCTTCTGAAGTGCCTGCAAATGGCAGAACACTTCTCTGCGTCTTACAGCTAACTACCTGGGAACGTCAAACAAACAACGAAAACTGCGCCTTTGTTATCAAACTTAATTTCAAGCCCCTTTCAAGACTGAAAATAGCGTATTTAGGGAATTGTGTTATGTTTGCTACGGACTGTTAACTTTCTGGTTAACTTTGTAATGTTTTTGTACGTTCCTCTTCAACTGTATTATACCGGTTCATGTATGTATATAATATTATATATATAAAATTATATAATATGGTATATATGAATGTATAGACCACAAGAAGATAGCCTCTTATGGTGGATATAGATAAAACTCAAACTTCACTGCACTACCTTAAAGTTAAACTGAGTTAAGGTTAAAGAAGTTATGAACTGCCTTTGTGTCATTCATGTGCACAGTTTAATGTACGAAATGAAATTTGCAACCTAAGTCCTGGTGTGGCAAAGTGCCCATGACTTAAACATGCCTCCAT